ATAATGTATACATATTCAGTTTTAGCAATGCATTTAGTGAATTCATGTGCAGCAAGAAGACATACATGCATGGCAATTAAAATTAAGGGTTTGACATGAGGAGCGACTGTAATGCATACTGTACGCGTGAAGTGTAGTGTGAATGGAGTCCTTCCCATACGTTTTTTTTAAACATATGTCTATTTCTTTGTATGTATTTCAGCTGTCATTCACACTTTCACTGAAAGATGAATTGCTCAAATATTTATTTTTATTTTTTACAGAATTCCTCGACATAACTGCTAATTGTTTGCTAAATGTTTATATATGTTTGTTGCAAAATTGTAGTAAAAAACGAATGATTTTTTGTTTTGTCATAAACACGAAACTTATATATTATTTTCATATTGTTTTCCTGCTATTGATGACTTCTAAAATTACTACCTTTTGTATCCATGTGAACTGTGTGCATCATAATGTTTTTTTTTCTGAGAGAGAGAGAGAGAGAGAGAGAGAGAGAGAGAGAGAGAGAGAGAGAGAGAGAGAGAGAGAGAGAGAGAGAGAGAGAGAGTTGCTGCCAGACTTTGTAAATAGTGATAGAACCTTGATCTTATACATTTTTTTTGCGTACTGACCAATGGCATCTGTTTTGTTTTTATTTACTATATTTGTTTTACCTGCTGATCGATTAAATTTTCATTTCGTTTTTAATATATGAATTAAAACTATGTCAGGATGACTGTGTTACCATGACAACATGTTGAATTGTTTTACTTACTTTCAGAGGATCATATATATATATAGCTAACATCACAGCAATTTAATAAGCATTAATAACATGTATGTGTTTATGTATGTATGTATGTATGTATATATGTATGTATGTATGTATGTATGTATGTATGTATGTATGTATGTATGTATGTATGTATGTATGTATGTATGTATGTATGTATGTATGTATGTATGTGTGTGTGTGTGTGTGTGTGTGTGTGTGTGTGTGTGTGTGTGTGTGTGTGTGTGTGTGTGTATGTATGTATGTATGTATGTATGTATGTATGTATGTATGTATGTATGTATGTATGTATGTATGTATGTATGTATGTTAAAGCACAATATTCATGCAAAATATACTCAATTCGCATTTTATAGCTTTTGTAATAGTTATTTTATGAACCAAAATGATTGGTGGTGTAGTCAATCTTCACATGTAAACCCAACATACGCATACGATACTAGGTCTACGTTTCCAAGCAGGACATCTTTATAAACCCATCCTAACCCACTACCCACACACGAGTGTAGAACAATGGGATTGGATCTCATGTCCCAAATACTCAATAAAATGCTACGACTAGTAGTTATCATAACAGCGAAATCACACCCACACACACACACACTACTTGTGTCTGTTAGAAAGGGCGGAGTGTTTCTTTTGACATGTATTAGATAAAACTGGCATCTAATGTTAAAAGAATGCTGTAAATATAGTTTGTTTTTCATTCTTTTTTGGTGCTGCATTTGAACTCTTATATAAGTATAGGGCTTTGTTTTTTTTCCATCATAAAAACAAATACATTTGTATCGTCAAAAAGTACGTATGAATGAAAATCGAATAATTGTAATACCATTGTCAAATTTAGTAAAAGTCTGGGCGACTTTACTCCAAGGCCTATATTGGAATATACAGTACATGGCTGTCTACCTGAATACATGCAAAAGTGTTTCAGATCTTGTTTAGCTTTATGAGTTCGGTAATCCAATTAACAACGCTGTATCTATCTATCTATCTATCTATCTATCTATCTATCTATCTATCTATCTATCTATCTATCTATCTATCTATCTATCTAGTTAGCTAGATAGATAGCTATCTACGTGTGTGTGCGTGAGCGAATGTGTGTGAAGCAAATCATCATAATACAACAAAGTAACGACCTGAGCGTCCATCTGTTCAATTCAATTATTCCAAATTCAAATCGAATTTTCAAATCGTGGATTTTTTAAAAAAAAAATACAAACTGACAACTGCCTCGCTTGGCGCTCAGCATTAAGAGGTTAGTGTTAGGACTGGTTGGGTTTGTGTCAGGATAATGTGACCGGTGGGACATCATGCCACATGTCTGCGGCATGATGCCAGAGTGCTATACATCGCTGCAGACATATTAGCGATATGACTGAAAAATTGTTAAAGCTACGTTAAAAATCTAAATCATACACACATCCACACACACACCAAATTCAAATTGAACAAAAATGATTTTTTTCCGCAGACTTAAATGAACACATTTATTCTTTATATGCAATGCAATTTTTCGACACGCAGCTATAAGTACTGAGTTAAATGCATATTCACATACACGTATTCAATATTGTTAGAAAATCTATTGGGTAATTGTTTTTCTTAAAGCAATCAAACAAGAACAAATTTATTCTATCAGGAAGTAGATTTTATAGAATTTCTACTAAACAAGGAAGAAACCAACTACTTAAGCTTATTGTGGAGGTATTAAGAACTATTGTTAACTTTCCTGGAAATTTTTTCGTTATTCCGTGTTGGAAATGATTGACGCTTTCCTTTCCCTTACTTATTATACCTGTAAAGTAAGGCCCCTTACTCGATACAATTAGTGTCTCTCAAACATTGGCACGTTCCAATACTTAAACCACCGACGGCAACTGTCTGTGACCTAATCGTAATCATCGCCTGATTTATATTCACGGAAGCCTCGTGTCCACCGTTTTTCCGACAGGCACTATGTATCATGTACAATTCAAATCAATATGATCTAAATGGTATATAACCATTCTACATGACGCAGTCTGCATAAGCTAAAATATATGCACAAATTTACGTAATTTAAATGTACGTAATTTAAATGTCAACATATAATACTTTGATTTTATGTATCGTGCTAAGCTGATGAGTAGGCGTTATTACCTGTACACTGAGCATAGATGAAAAATAGTCTCCCCAACCCCCGGTACTGGACTGTCGCAAGGGGCGGGCGATTTCGCGGAGTTTGCTGTTTAATTTCCAATAGGTATGTGCTGAAGGCCACAGCGTTCATTGTATGACAACCGTATGGCTGACTAGTAAACCACAAAGCAGTTTTATTTTATTAGCACAAGGGAGTCCAGAGTGGCTTAAAGAACTCCCTGTTAAGGATCACTGCCATGTCGCCTCAGTCTGCCTGGGTTCGAGTCTCTGGTTTGGCCAATGTGAGTATGTGAAAAATCTTGCCAGTAACTTCTCGTCGGCTTGTGGTTCTTTCCGGGGTTTTCCAGGGTTCTTCCTCCACCATTTATACTGGCCGCCATGTATAGACAGTCTTGTGCTGAGAAATGTTGTTACACCCTATAACAACAACAACAACATTAGTTCAATGTACATTGCAGTAGTATAGATAGTGGGATCTATTTCGCATTTGTAAATTTAAAAAAATTTGACAATTTGAAAATTCAACCTAGCTTACACTTTAAATACATTACAAACATTATTTAAATGAGAAAGCTAAGTGATGAAGACATCCATCGTGTCTTGAAAATCTGTTTTCAAAATACAAATTTAAAATTTAACAGAGCGTGTATTGGTCTATGTACTCCCTTACGTATGCAGTCATTTATGTATTCATTCTACTGTGATTAATTCGCCCTTTTGAGACATGTTGTGGCCAGAATGATTTAATAATTTTTTTGGGTCGTCTGCTTAGCTCTAATTCACCTTTGAGATTTTCATAACAGTTCCTTTCAACTTCAGTTATTTTCCTATCAACTTCAATTATTTTTCTAACAGCACAAAAATGTTGAATATATATATATATATATATATATATATATATATATATATATATATATATATATATATATATATATATATATATATATATATATATATATAATACTCTCAAACTGGTCAGAGAATAATTTGTACGAATTAACTTTTCTCTCACCTGTGTGATAGTAATATTTGTATTACATATTACTTCTGCCTAGTATTATGAAGCATTCTGTAGAATCCAGGAATAGCACTTTCCCTTCTGTCTGATGTATATTTATAATGTGATTTAAATTCATTTAAAAAGTATGTTGTAGAATGACATGAAATACTTGATGGATCTTTAGCAAACATCAAAGATGGTAAGCTTTGAGGAAAAGTCTGCTAAAGCAAAACCCAGTTATTAAAAAGCACGAGACTAGTCTTATAGGAACCTCCACTACGTATAAAACCGTTTGCAATGAATTAGTTTATTGTAATGTTTTGTAAAGAGACTTGCAAAAACAGTTTGAAACTCGACTCAACGGACATTTTAGAATGTGGTTTTAATTGAAACTTTTTTTTTAACAATCAATGCTGTCTATAACGTCGCTTGATAAATCGTGCTGATAATAATATTTCTCTCAAGTATTTTTTAAATTTAAAAATGCTCAACAAATCTTACTTTCTATAGTATTGTAACGTACACTGTATTAAAGAAATATCCCGCCTTGTGGTTTGCTAGTCCGCCGTACGATTGTCATACCAATAACGATTATTTTAAGTTGACCTGATAAGTCGATCAAATTATGCTCCGCGTATAGTGCTAGTAGATAAAATTCATAAGCTGCGTTTAAGTACACCTATAACATTCCTGGGATATCGATATGGTCTGGGTATAATACTTGTCTAAATTTTCATTAATTGCTTTAAAGTAAATCTGCAACATGATACATGACACAGACTTCGGCATTGTTTGGTAAACATCTTTTGTGGTGGACACACCTTACATATTTAATAGTCATGATTTCTACAGGATTGGGACGTGTCTGAACTTATAAAGGATGCTACTGATGTCAATTAACATGAAAAATTGTACATGTGATTCAGCCCAAACAAAGTCATTTCCTTTTCATCTTGTTCTGTTCGGACAAGTAATTTATCCTACTTTTGTTTTTCGTCTACTTTCATTTGTTCCATGCCACTGATTTATATCTTTTACTTCCTTTGCGATACAAAGAGCACATAACTGAAGAGAACAACCGCTCCGATGGCCTAGTGGTTAGAGCGTCCGCCTCAAATGCGCGAGGCCGTGAGTTGTATCCCCGGTCGAATCATAACAAAGACTTTAAAAAATTGTACTAACAGCTGCCTCGCTTGGCGCTCAGCATTAAGAGGTTTAGTGTTAGGACTGGTCGGCCAGGTGTCAGGATAATGTGAATGGGTGGGATATCATGCTACATGTCTGCGGCATGATGCCCCAGTGCTAGACATCAGTGCGGACATCGTAGCGATAAGAATGAAAAATTGTTAAAGCTACATTAAAAATCAGAATCACATCACCTCGCTGAAGATAACACCAAGATTAATCAGAACTTTATGCCTCTGGCCCATAATACTTAACACGTAAAACAGAGTACAATACACAGTGTGCCATTAACAGTATAGTAAAATACACTTGTTTAGGTGTTGATATTGATAATTTGAACAAACTATCGCTTAGTCTTAAAAGCAAAACTCAAATCGCTTTAAACATTTGTTTATTTTATGAGTGACATTAAATTTTTAAATTTATCCTCTGCAGGGTTGATATAATATATCTCGTCGAGATATGTTGGTGTTCAATTTGTATACGAAGTACATACGCATACAAAGTGGTACTCATTCTACACACTTTATATTTTCTTTAAGACATATTTTGCAAACTCTATGATCTATTTCAGTTTTGTTGTGTTTTTATCGTTAAATGATTAAATGTTTAGAAGAATTAAAATATAGAAATTTATTTCTTCTGAAAATGAAACGTTCGATCTAATGTTAAATATTTTTCGGTTTCCAAATACTTGTACTGTCTATGATAAATATATTGACTTGACCGAATCTGTCACGAGGAATCAAATGGACGTTGAACACACAGAATATTGTTTCTATCAGATATTTCCTGCGTTAGCCGTGCATAACCAAAACTATGAGAAAATAAAACATTTTTATTTTTTCTGACCCTGTCATTTTACTGGCATCATCCAGACTTTTTTTTTAGCATAAATACAAAATTGGAAAGGATATATGCCTATCGGCATATGTATAATTTTAGTCCAGTATTTGACACATTTGTACTTGTACTTGTACTAAAATGTTATCGTTCACATTCACCGTGACTAATATAATTATTCATAGTATTTGATTCGTTAAAATATCTATCACAAAATCTTTGATGTATTCATTCTATTTTTGGTTTCATACCTCAATATTTCTGAACCGGAACAAAATATCGGCTTCATCATAACATCAAACATATTTTAAAATATATCCTGTAATGTGTTCTTCCAAAATATTTGGTGATAACCTAAAACTTCCGGATGCTGCTTTCAACGTTTGTGATGCCAGCGTATCTTAGCCGTAGTCCTTGAAAGTTGAAATTTCTGGTGTTACCATTGTAAGCAAATTTGATCAAAAGCTGAACATCTAATTTGGAAATAAACGAGAACATTTTTGCCGTTTAATAAATTTAACTAGTCACCTAATTATTTAAAATTTTGAAGATGCATATAGCTAAAGACTAAAAGTATACATACAGACTGACATAAATACGTTCGTGGCTTACATTGTAATAAAATAAAAAGAGTAGCAAAGCATTAAATATATGCATGGTGTACAGTCAAACGTTTCTTAAATATCATTTCCACATGGAAGCAACATTTGTGTGACAGTCAAACCTTTCTTATATATCGTTCCCACATGAATGTAACAATTGTGAAACATTTCTTAACTTTAGTTTCCACATGCAAGTACAGTTGTGATACACAAAAGATGGAAATGTATAATTTGAATAATGCTAACAAGAATAAATAAATAATGAGTCATTATGTCCATAGGAGTATTGACAAAGTTAATATCAGACAATAAATACAAATACACGTAAACATGAACACGATTTTATCAGTAATATGTAAGAAAACTACACGCGGCTATTAATTGATCTATGACAAAAAAAAATAAAAAAAATACGCAGTTTCACACTGAGTACAAACAGCGTTAAACAGAGATTAAAAAAAACCCAACACTTAGTAACATTACTGCATAATACTTAATTTCATCCGTGAATGACCATCTATAACAATATAGATATGTTATCACATGAAAACGACGTTTTGAATCTTGTACCAACATGTGATGTGACTTTAAACATGTTGTCCACGCTAGCAGATCCGTAGTTTTTAATAAAGCATGACTATATCTTGGTTCTAATGTAACCAGAGCCGATGCGGTGGGGTCAACAGGAGATATATCCCCGGGTCCGAACCCGTAAGAGTTGCCTGGGTCAAACAAAACTTTAAAAATTTTATAAAAGAAAAATGTTGTTTTAACAAGAACGAGGAGACTATGTGTTTCTTACTCTAGGGCCAATTATCGCCCTCTACGGTATTGAATGTAGTAGATAATTGCAATCAGGTATACATTTGTAAGCTAATGTTGATAAAAAAGGAATAATTACTACCTTGAACGTAAGAAATTTTATACCTTATTTTTACCATGAATTAAAAATGGTTGAAATCAAGTATCTATATCTACCAGATTTTAAATGACATGCTCTTTCTCCTTTAGCCACGTAAAAATGGGCAAGGGGAGATAATTCTGCTGCTGTGCATTTAGGTGTGTTTAGATTTCATTCGTCCAGGAATTGCCCAATCGCCTGCAAAACTTTTCGTCATCAATAATTAATTTTACCTAAGTTTCTAACACTTAATGGTACAATGATGTATACCATCAAACCTGAATGCTGTTTAAATCTAAATGTTGATAAATCAAGAGAATTAACTATACCATGTATAATTTGCTTTCGCCATCACGTTGTGCTTGAAAAATGTAATTCTTTAGTTCACGGATGTAATTAGAATAAATTAAATTGTGGTCATAAAATAACGTCTTTGTACATTAAATTTATGTATATTTGATCTTAAAAACCCTACCCGGAACACCAGGGCTAGATATATAGTGATGATATCACGTGGTTACCAAAGGAGTTGAAAAAATAAAAAAAATGTGAAATTCCATCAAGCGTTTGATTTTTTTTTATATCGAAAGTGTAGTAATGGAGACACAAAGGATATCACAGTATCCGCGAAGCTTTTTAAAGTAAATATTCTGTGATAATAAATCGCAACGTTTGCTCAATGCTGTTTTCATTGGCGTGTTGGTTGCAGAATTTAATTACAAATCTCCTACCTAAAACATTTTTGAGAACGATCCCACGTTTTGTAAGTGCGTTGCACTTTGATACAGGTTACTGTTCCTTATCCAACGTAGTCTGTAGGGGATATATAAGTTTCCCCGTTCGATCGTTCGTATGCGTAGGTACGTTCGTTTGTGTGTTCATTTGTTCTTTACCTATTTAGTATCTTGTACTCTATTTTATCTAAAGTTGAACGTGTTATATAGATGCATTTTAAGAATTGCAACTCAAGCATACCAAAAGTAGGTCACTTTGATCTTATCTTCAATCCTAAATGACTAGTATGTTTTCGGTTAGAGATTAATTCTACCTTCAAAATAGTCGACCCTATGTCATCTACATTAATGCAGCTTTGCATGTGGGTGCATCTGAAGGTGAATAACTCACCAAAGTAGATTACAGAGATCATATTTCATGCTTGACTGATTTTTTGTATCGTCAGTCATTTGTTTGATACACTCTCTGTATCTCTAACCCAATTATAACTCTATAAAACAAACTTTTTTTTCCTACGCTACAGTGATGAACCTTTGGTATTGGTGCATACCAAGTTAAGCTATAGTAACTATTATATATTGCCATGATATTTTCCATCACAACGTGACCGCCAGTTTTTAGCTTAGATTCCAAACCAGATTGTAACGAGTTTAATACTGTGGCGGCTGTCAGGCAGCTTCATTATGCAAGGCACCAGCATTTCCATTTTCTCTAAATTTTTCTACGGCCTGAAGGATCAGTAACTTTAAGAAGTTCATAATCAATGTTTCGATATAATGATCCTCGGTACAATCAGAACCTTGGCTAGCGAAGATGCTGGTCGCCACCATCAGAACATTTACCTATCTTCCTGATATTCTTTTCATATGTTTGCAAGATTCTCAGCTGATCATTATGACGAACTAATTTAATTTCTTGTGTTATGTAAAGACAATTTTCGGCGTCTGAATGGCTGACAGATGTTAAGTATGATACACTGCAAGACACGTAACTCACATGCGCTTAAACAGTAAACCTCTACACTAGTCTATTGTTGACTGCCCGTATCGCACTCTGTCGGCCAGTGATTCATATTTACAAATAAACACCTTGTTTATTAGTTCAAAGGCACGTTATAGAATTAAGGAATAGGACCAACCACCTCTGTCGGAGTACAATAGTGCGTGACCCGAGTCACAAGCATGGGTCTATGACCGATATATGTAGATATAGGTGAATCACTCTGTTTACACCCTTACGAATCACCAATGCAAGAGTCAACAGCCTATATCTGTTGATCAGTGATCTATCAAAATACCTTTTGACAATGTTCTACGTAGTGTAAGATAAAAAAGTACATGCATTTGAATAGAAGGTAAAAATCACGAAAGTGTAAGACCTTTTGTTGCAAACTCTTATTGTTTTAATGGACTATACGTTGTTTATATCTCGCCGTATTAATATTGACGTATTTTTCATAATAATATCGTCAAATTGTTTAGTTTCATAGATACTCTTCAAGCATGTTCTGCCTACCGGAAGGGTTGCCATAACGATGACGTGAATGCGATGCAAGGATTAAAGTATGAAGAGATTACTGGTTTCCCGTTGAATGAACAGATATTTGAGTTATGAACCGACGCATGGGCTTTTCAACTTTGACACACACACACACACACACACACACACACACACACACACACACACACACACACACTCTCTCTCTCTTTTTCTCTCTCCTCTCTCTCTCTCTCTCTCTCTCTCTCTTTGTCTTTATGAATAAATTACAGTTTTATTAATATTTTTGATTTCGCAGATTTATTAAAATAGATTATACCTTGATATAATAAATTTTCAATACATTATGATTAATTATTTATAGAATAATTATTTATTTTTTATTATTGT